TAAAACTATCAATGTTTACAATAGCAAAAACAGACCGTCAAGTTAAGTAATAGATACAGAGTAAAACTATAAAGAATATAAATGAATAAAAAAGGAAAGGGTGAAAAAAAATAAGTTTAAAAAATAATTTTTCCTCTAAATATGAGCAAAGGGAGCTTTTATAGCGAGCTTTCATATGGACCATATCGGTATATCGCAAAGTTAAACCGCAGATACTGATAAACAATATAAATAATATAAAGAGCGCAAAAATAAGAACAGAAGAAAAAGACAAGTTGATAAATGTAGGGCTCAGTGGATGAAGAAGGTAAGTAACATTTTTACAAAAATCGAGTTATTCTCGTTATTGAAGGAGGTATTAATATGTGCTAATATGTTTTGTGAAACTAACAGTAGCACTTTAAGAGCCATATTAAGAGAAATACTAATGTCATGAAGGAGGTGTGTATCAACAACTACTTATATTTGGAGGGGATGAAGGAGGTATGAAACAAAAGTAGCACATAATTCCTTTTTGTACTAGTGTCCTGACCAAGTTCTGTAACATACCGCCTTTATGCAAGTAACAGCTAGCTGTGAATAAGCTGTTCACCATTTGACAAAAACAATTGTTGTGATTAATACGTGTTTTGCGAATTTAAGTTGTGTTTAGTAATATTGCTCACATTAATAGTTGAAATGACTTCAAGGAGAAAGATTATGTTACAGTTAGCTTTAAATGATAATATTTTAACTGCCAGTGAGAGTATTGACAAAAATGTAATACGAACCATGAAAAATGGGAATTCTAACCTACAAATGCCAATGTCGTCAACAAGTAGTGACCATTCTACAGGCAAGAATGAAGTTCGCCAAGAAGAATGTAAGTATCTTTTTTATAAAATATGTAATTAATGTAGGAATACTTTATCGTAAAAAGAAACATTTCCAACCAAAAATAAAAGTAAGTAGAAAAAGGCAACGAAATGTTGACGAATGGAAGAAACGAAAAGCTACACTCTGCAGGCAAAGAAGATACACAATTACACAAATTATAAAGGTGAGTTAAAACCTGCTAAGACTAGTGTCAAAGGTAATAATTTATGCCCCGAAAAGTGTCACCGACAGTGTTCCCAGGTATTTACAATTGAAGACAGAGAAAACATTTTGTCATCGTGGTACAAACTGGATATAAATGCTAAAAACTGTGTTCTGTATAATAGTATCAAAATAATCCCCACATACAGACAAAGAACTGGAGCTTTAAAACACAAGACCGCCTCATTCCAATAGAACGTATAGTAAACGAGCTTTTGTTTCGTTATACAACATTTGCATGAAGAAGGTTGACTTAGTTCAAAAGCAAATTAAGATGAGTTTAGCTGCTCCTCTACCAGACAAAAGAGAAAAACGCAAAAATAGACATAATAAAATTCAAGATGATGTTGTAATTTATAAAATTCAGCATATTTCAATTTTCCCTTTAGAATTATCTCATTATTCAAGAAACTGCAATATCCAGAAGAAATATCTGTCTCTGCTTTTATCGCTTCCTATTATGCATAAACTAGTAGGTATACATGTAATGCAGACAAAGTCCAAAATCGATTCAATGTTAACGAATGCACGTACCGCAATATTTTTAACAATGAATTCAACTTATCGTTTGGACACCCGAAAAGTGACACTTGCAGCACTTGCGATTCTTGTGCTGCAAATGAGGAACATATTGAAAATTATAAAGCAGCGCATTTCACCAAAAATACAGATAGAAAAAAAAGGGGTTAGTCTTTGTAAATGGGTATATTTATTTAAAAAACCCTTAAAAGAGCCACATCAATAAAACAAACGTTTTCGGACCACACAGTCCATCATCAGGTTTTAAAATCGAAAAATGCCTAAAAATAAGTATAAACCATTTAGTTAAAACAAACGAGATTGTGAAATTTTGACTATGGTTGAAAAGCAAAAGATGGTTATACTTACTAGGTCACAATGCCTGAGCCACCAAAATACTAGGGTAAAAACCCTTTAAATTACATTTAGTTATGAAAGATTGTACATTGTGTTGTAAAATAACTGTGATGTTCAGTATTAAATTAAATTTGACTAGAGGTAACACATGGCTCAATCGAGTTCCAGAGCCGGTGAGAGAGAACCTCTACACTCGGAGAACAGCTGGGAACTGATTGACAAGATACTTATGAAGGATGAAGATAACAGAATGTCAATGCAACAAAAACTATAATAGTTGTACATAGTATTACTACAGCCAAAAGATTCAACAAGTTTTGATGATTTTAAAAAATAACAATAATCTAGGTGTTGTGATTTAAAAAAATTTTTTATTTATTAATTTAGGGTATAAAAGATGTGAAATCAACCATCATTGATTTCACATATTTTATACCCTAAATTAATAAATAAAAAAGTCTGGGATCATCTGGGACACGAAATCAAAATAAGCAGAGACAATCAAACACATGAAATACAGAGGCGATTAGGCCTAACATGGGCAGCATTTGGCAGATTAAGCTATATTCTAAAAAGTTCAATTCCTATGTGTCTCAAGCGAAAGGTTTATAACCAATGTGTTTTACCTGTACAAACTTATGGAACAAGGACTTAAACACTCACGCAAAAATCTGCGAATAAACTCAGAGTTACACAACGAGCCGTGGAACGTGCAATGCTGAACGTGAGCCTTCGAGACCACATAACAAACCAACAAATCAGGCAAAGATCAGGAGTTCAAGACGTCATCGAAACAACCACGACGCTTAAGTGGAACTGGGCAGGACACTTAGCCAGAACACAAGATGGACGATGGACAGGACGTATTATGGAATGGAGGCTCAGAAACTATAAAAGAAGCCGAGGACGACCACCGACTAGATCGACCGATGATATAAAACGTGTAGCTGGCTACAAGCGGCCCAGTGTAGAGAACACTGGAAAGAACTGAGGGAGGCCTATGTCCAGCAGTGGACGCGATTGGCTGATTGATTATGATGATGAAATGTGGTTCTATAATTTAGACATACATATTATAACTAAAGAAGTTGATAAAACAATTTTTTGTACATGGAATGAAGACTAAGCATGCAGGTAGTAGTCAGATCGCTAGTTGTCTTTTAAGAACCATTGAAGTTGAGCTGGTACAAACAAAAAAAAATACTTAAATATTTGGACAGATTCGTGTTTAGGGCAGGACAAAAATGTCCTAATGGTGTGTGTTTATGAGTATCTTATATAAAAAGGAATATTCCAAATAGTTTCAGTAGGTTATTCCTACTTGGATTCAGACCGGGATTTTGACCGAAATAAAAAAAGATTAAGGAAACATCAAACTATTTGTACTCTACAACAATACAACAATACGAAAACAATTACAGCAATAGAAAAAAAGATGTTCTAAATAAAAAAGTATATTTCCGTGATGGCATAAAATGGATCCGTGTAGATACCTATGGGTCATACCTCTTCAAGGAGTGTTTCGAATATGGTACTCCTTTTAAAGAATTCAAATTTCTTAAATATTTCAAAAAGCCCTCCATACTTTCCGAAGATTTTGACATTCTAAGACTTTTTAGAAAAACCGGTGCACTATAAAAAAAATGATAACTTAACACAACAACTTCCCTTGCAGCACTTGCGATTCTTGTGCTACAAATGAGGAACATAATGAAAATTATAAAGCAGTGCATTTCACCAAAAATACAGATGGTGTTGCATGAAATTCGACCTCCAACAAACGATGCCATTGCCTAGACTGAGTACTTCTAAAGCATTTTACCTCCGCCAAATGTGGTTCTAGGATTCAACTATTGACAATAGTTGAATCCTAGAATCCCTTCGTTCCAGAACAACACACGTGGTTCTATGATCTTATTTTACGTGAAAATAATGAATAAACTTAAGGGGTGACAATTTTCGATATCCTTGGTGTTATTAAAATATGTATACGTATTAAAAATAAATATCATTTTGAAAATCTACAGAACAGTATTTTGAATTGTATGCACATAACCTGTTTTATACTATAGACAAAAATGAAATATACAAAATCTTTGTGGAAGAAAGAGGTATGTACACAACATCTTTTTTTTGTCTGGTTAGCAGATATTTAAAAATTTTCTCAACTTCCATATTAATTTCACCACTCATGGGAACAGTATGATTGGTTAAGCCTTTGAAAACCAATAACTACAAAAAAGTTCTACAATGAAAACTTTGGGGTCAAATATCTCAAAATTTCTTTTTATTACATACCTCCTTCATCCACTCAGCCCTTCAAATGATTTCTGTCTAAGAGACAATGTAAAGAAAACTAAAAATAGTATACATAAAATATAAAGAATAGAAGTAAAGAAAAAACAGGTAAGAAAAAAGGTTCTTTTGCCCAAAGAAAACGTGGAAAAGAAAATTACTATTTTGAAAGAGACGAATCTATTCTAAAATAATATGAATATAACGAATAATAACATAAAATTAATACATTTAAATACAATGACCAGTGTTGCATGAAAACATGAAAAATATAAAAAAACATTTTAACATCAAATAAAATTATTTTATTTGTATTGGTACGTCTGGCAAACGTACTAAGAAAGATCTTTATGTCAATGACCTAATTTTATAATCCGACTTTTCCAAAAGTCTCCATTAACTTCTATATATATAATTATCTTTTCCACTGTCTGTTTTTATTTATTTATCGTAGAATATGTTAATATTGCAGATTTCTCAGGTTTTAGTTTAATTAATAACGGTTTTATCTCGTTATTTTTTATTCTTGTTTCGTTTTCTATTTTGGTGATGATCGAGAAGAGAGCGTGTTTTTATAAATGGCCAGAGAGAATACAGTAATTGTAGATTAAAATGTCACAAATAATAAAATGCGTATGGTAAAAGGTAAACAAAAGCCCTATGTCCTCTCTAACCTCCCGATCGATACCATTTCATCTCAATTCGCGGGATGGTAATTTCCCTTTTAAATATCGCACATGCCACACACTTACCTCCGCTTATCAAATAAATAACTACACCAAAACTGAATATTAATATCACGAAACCCACGACGTCACACAATAAAGGAGAGTCGAGAGTTGGATGAATCCGTGTGCCAAAAAGACCGTATATCGGCAAAATTGGGGTTGCGTGCCGTGGATTCAGTGACGATGACCGTCCCCGAAGAGGTTTGGGGTCACGACGTATGCGCTCCGCCGCGACGCTCTCCGCTTTTCGAAAAGGGCTTTGTCGGCGCACGGGGAACGTGTTTTGGAGTCGTGGTAATTGGGTTTTTCGTCAGAAGTTTTTCTCGGGAAATGTATGTAACGTGTAGATCATTAAAATAACTAGGGGGTGGTTGTATTTTAAACCCCCATTTTAAACCCCAGCTTAACAAACTTTAACCAAAGTGAAGGCCAGTTCAAAAAGCTCAAAGTTCTCCATTTAACTGCATTTAAAAATAAAAATATACAATGGTTTCAAAAAACTGATGGACGTTTACGATATAAGGTACAAACTTATATTGTACTCCTCAAGAAATACACGTAAAGTCATTACAACAATATATTTAACATTTTCCCTATTTCTGCGGCTTTAAATCAGTTTTGGTTAATCTGGTATTAGTTCTTCTTCTTTAGGTGCCCTCTCCATTACTGAAGGTTTCTTCTTCTTTAGGTGCCCTCTCCATTACTGAAGGTTGGCTATAACTACAGCAAATTGCTCTCTAGCTTGAGCTGTTCTTAGTAACGAATGTGTGTCCATGTCTCTCCAGTTTCTTAAATTTTTCAGCCAATAGCATTTTCTTCTTCCTGGACCTCTTCTTCCTTCCACTTTCTCTTCCATTATGACGTGCTCTGCCCAAGAGATATTCAGCATCATTCTAAAAATCCACATCTCAAGGGCTTCTACACGTCTGATACTTGTGATTCCGAGAGTCCATATTTGCATTTTGGAGCAGAGCAATATGGAACAAATGAATGTTTTTACAAATTGGTATCGGATATCCAACGATAAGGTAAAGTTTATGAGGAACTTTTTTATTCTTTGAAAAGCGGGCCTAGCATACTCTATACGAGCACGTTATCCACCAGCCAAGATACTGAAATTTTTGTACTGGTTCTATCTGTTTGTTGTAGGTGCAAATATTAACGGCATTTGGTGCATGTGTTACGGCCATTAGTTTTGATTTATTTGTGTTTATATTCAGCCCCAAGCTATCTCCCTCTCTGGCCATGGCATTCAAAAGTCCTTTCAAACCTTCCTCACTTTCCGCAATAATGACGGTGTCGTCTGCGTATCTTAAGTTGTTTACATATTCTCCGTTGATTTTTATTCCTTCTTCAATATTTTCGAGGGCATTTTGAAAGATCTTTTCGGAATATATATATTAAACCATAGTGGAGAAAGTTCACAGCCCTGGCGAGCCAGCCTGCTTTTTATTAATATTTCTGTTTTCATACGATTGTCTAGTTCAATCGACGCCATTTGATAATCCCAATATAGGTTTTTAATAAGGGCACCGTGTTATAGTCTATACCAAGATGTGTTAGAGTTTCTATGAATTCTGTGTGGTTTAGTCGATTAAACGCTTTTTAGTAGTCGATAAAACAGAGAATCCCGTCTTTTCGTTGATCTCGGCAGTTTTGTAGTAACATCTGAGGCTAGACGCTCAGATTTCTTTCGCATTCTCTGTATATACGTTGATCTACAATTTTGAGTAAAATTTTCAGAAAATGGCTTATTAGGCTAATTAATCTAAACTGTGAGTATCTATTTACTTTATTTTTCTTGGGTATAGATATAAATGTCGATCTAAGCCAGTCTTCTGGGAAGATTCCAGTGGATATATTTTGTTAAATACTAGTGTTAAGGACTGAATATTTTCTTCATTGTTACGTTTTTTAATCTCTACATATATCTCATCTAGACCTGAGGCCTTTCGTGGCTTTGCCATATTTATTGCTTTTGTTACTTTCGATATTAATATATCAAGTCATCAAGTTTTTCGTTACCTTGGTAGAATCTGAGGTTTCATTAATTTATTCATCACTATTCATATACACTTTTTATGCCATATAAAATATCACTTTATATGGGATGGGATTAAAGATCTATAAAGAGAATAGCGACAAATTATAGTCTGGTTTATTACTAAGAGAATCACATACTCCTGGGGATCCAAAGTTATATAGATACTTTAAATAATTGATGGCTTTGACCATTACTTGATGGAAATTTATTTTATGTAACAATAAATCACTGAAAACTTTATTTTCAAAACTTCCACAACATTTTTTATAAAATCTTAACACTACAGCTGTTTCGGCTGATTGACGAAACTACAAGACTATAAAGTGTAAACGCATCCCAAAAATAGATCAATCAGCCGAAACAGCTGTAGTGTTAAGATTTTATAATAAATGTTGTGGAAGGTTTGAAAACAAAGTTTTTAGTGTTTTATTGTTTACTTACCTACTCCGTGGCGTTACAACCCTTCGTGGGTTTAGCCGACTTGACAACATTCCTGCACTGTTTTCTGTCTTGAGCAACCTCCATCCAATTCTCGACGCCCATAGTGCCTAGGTCTCCTGCTATATTATCTCGCCCCTGGAGACGAGGACGTCCGCGTAATCTCCTTCTAGTTGGGACTTCTTCCCACACCAGTCTTACTGTTCGTTCGTCAGAATGTCTTCTGAGGTGTCCTGTATCTGTTAGTATTTTTTTTAATTGTCGTATTTTAAGACTGTAGTAAGAGCCCAAGAAGGTATCCAGTAAATTCTGGCAGGAAACGGTGGTAGAAATCTTTTTTAGACATTTAACATCACGGAGCAAGACACTCTGGCATCTTCCAGCCCAGTACGACACTAGGCCAGGAGACCCCAAGGTGTTCCGGAATAATCCGTAGCCACTGTTACAGAGTAGTGGACCAACTACTTAATAAAAAAACTGAATCCATATATTAACCGTCACCTTAAAAGAAGAATAACTATATTGTATTTAGGAAAACTTACAACTAACCATATGTTTCACCATATATCAGAAAAAAATTGTTTAAGAACTGCCTATTACCAAAAGAAAACAAAAAAACAAAAATATTTTCGTAAGGCCATAAACTAATTTTGGTGCTTACTGGTTCTTGGCTCTCAAGAAAAAGAAACAATATTTCAGATTCCTAGTTCAATTTCTTTCTTTGTCGTCCTGCTCCTTCTTCATCTACTTTTTTCATTCTCTCTCTCCTCTCATCATTACGTTTACCATGTTTTTTTTATCTAGTGAAACCCATTTGGCTCTCGAAGTCCCCCCCCCCCGCTTATTTTTCTTACAGTCCGCCGAGACAGATTTGACTATTCTATTTGTAAAGGTGCCAAAACTACCATGTCCGGTCAGAAACTGCGTCAAGAAGTAAGGTAAAATGGGGCAAGTGCGTGAGCGGGGCTAGTGCATCAATGTTATCTAAATTTTCATTACAAATGTATTAGCTGCTGCCATTTAACAACTAACGTTGGCAATACATATGTGAGTCCAAAGAGTAAACAACCGACCGTCAGTCTTAGTTATTGTTGATTCTCAATGAAGCGAAGTTCGTGCATTAATATCATCACATAGTATAAGGCGGCCTTGAAAATTTCATCTTAATTCATCGGTTTCATCCATGGTACAAGTTTCACCTACGCGTTTAGAAGTCTGATTTTTGGTAAGTACCTAGAACTTTTATATTGTTTTGTTGTGGTAACACCTATATTTTAACGTTTTATTGGTTACTTTATTTAAAAAAATGTATTGCGCTCTTGCCCCAGTCAAAAACAGCATTGGGGCTACTGCGTTATAGGAAAAGGGAGGTAAAGGCAAGTGCGTGAAGTAGTACGCACTAGCCCCAATGTATTCTCGACATTTTAATTTAATCTTGTTTCTTTTGTTTCAGAATTCTAAAATCAGGATGTTGCGTAATTATATTCGGAAGAATAATAGAGGCTCCACATATAGTAAAGAAGACGTAGCCACAGCAGTATCCTAAGTAAAACTTAACTATTTACCGCGCCAGTAAAATTTATGGCATCCCAAAGAACACATTAACAGATCACGTTAAGGAAAAAAGAGATAAGAAAAGTGATACGTACGGAAGGAGGCCAGATATTTCATTTAAAGATGAGGAGACCCTAGCCAACTATATTCGACAAATGGAAAAATGGGACTTAGATTGTCACGGAAAGAGGTGCTACAAATTGTAGCAGATTGAAAGCAAATAACATTAAAACACAATTAAAAAACAGTGTTCTCGGTGAAGACTTGTTTCTAAGGTTTAAAAAGAGTCACAATTTCTCAATTAAAAAGCCTCAAAGCGTAAAGTTTGCTCGCAAGAGGAGTATTGATCCGTTTATTGTATACAGTTACTTCGAACTTTTAGATGAAATTTTATACAATTTGAGATTGAAAGAAAAACGTGCACAAGTATGGAACCTTAATGAATCCAGTATGCCAGCAACCAGAACAACTAGTGGTCCGGGAAAACAAGACACAACTGTTCTTATGGCGTGCAGTGCCGCTGGAGAAAAAGTACCACCATAATCTTTTAAGGCAAACATGTTTGGACCAATGGGTAGCAAAATCTGAGACTGAGTACTCAAATACTACATATGCCGCAACAGTTAATGGCTGGATGGAAACTAATGTTTTTAAAAATCTCTTCGAAAAAAGCTTTATCAAGAATTTATCTAAAACGTGTCTTGTTCTTGTTATATACAACTCATACCAATATGGTTTTGATAAGACTAGAAATTGCAAATGAAATTACCATTCTTATGCTACCACCACATACCAGCCACTTATTGCAACCACTAGATCTATCAGTATTTAAGTCTCTTAAAAGAAGCTGGGATGCTAAATTAGTCCAGTGGGAGAGGAAAAATTTTGGGATAAAACTTCCAAAATGTATGTTTTCAAAATTAATTGCAGAGATCTGGAGAGAAACTGATCCAGGCATATTGATAAGTAGTTTTACTAAAGCTAGAGTTTTACCTTTAAATCATAATGTTATACCACAGAAGTATTTCGATCCCTTAGCTTCACAACGATAAGCTAAAGACACAAAAAAAAAAATTGGGACTATCAACCT